TATGCATAGCTGAAACATAACTCAAACTATTAAATAACTCACGACGCAAAATCGTGGTTAACTGTGTTTTTCACAACCATATGTTTGATCGGATTGAACTCCGTGGTGATTCACCGGTAACGTTGACTTTAGCTAACGGTGCCTGGACGACTGAGTGCGTAAATGAGGAAACGAGCCAGCGAAGTTCCGCTTAAATCAGGTGTATTGTTTGAACATGGTTACCACGTGTATTTTAACGTATGTTACAATATGAAAGCGACCCTTTGGAGACATACGTCCCTACAAAAAAGGGCATATCTATGTTGCTAACAGGTCACGGACGGGCTCCAGCGTAGAAAGCGGCTAACGTCAGTTAGCTCAGCGGTATCTCACCATACAAAGACGCGGTCGTAAAATCAGAGTAAATCGTGTTGGATTACATACCTGACGCTTATTCATGCGCCGAACATCGTCAAGAAAGTCTAGCGACAACATTGTTGCAAAACACTACTGGATAGAAAAAACGCCTAAGGCTGAATCACATTAAGACGTTTAGAGCAACGGGCATATGGATGCACGGTCCACAACTGAAACTTGCATCCGAGACTTCCGGGTGCGCTTAACCGGAAGTCCCGCCCCCGTGTCTGCGCTTGGTTGATGTGTCAAAACAGGATACGAGAGCAGCCGGTTCCCGAAACTACAAGAAGATGAAACGGTGTCGTTGCTCTACTTTTTTAAAATCATGTTTTATAGTAGATCACAGACGGCCAAGAAAACATATTGTATCAAAATAAAGACGTCAGTAGGATAGTAATGAGTTGGGTTTTCATTCTTTGGTGATTCAGTAGAAATTGATGTGAAGCAGAATACAAGAGTGCAAATAAAGTAAAGAAAATATAACAAACATATTCACTTACAATATATAATTTTTTTTACATAAAATGCAAAATGTCAAAAGTGTAAGATCTAAAGTAAAGGTACATAGGGAAAATTCTAAGATCTAAAGTAGGTAGATAGTTAATGCAGCCGATGCATTATAATGATACTGTACTATAATGTATCTTTTCAGATTACACACACACACACACACACACACACACACACACACGCCTTTCTTTTGATGAGCCTTCCTTAGAGCCAAATGGGGTAAAGCTTAAGCTTACAATCAGTGATAATTATAATTATAATGACTCAGTGGATATCATAAACCAAACAACCACTAATGTAAACAATAACTCTGCAAGTGTAATTTATGGCCTATTAATGGCCGCCTTTAGAGGTGGGTAAACTCCATTCTGTAAATGTAAATAAAACAGTGCATAAAGGAAATGTAGGGGAGTTTACTTTCCATTACCGCCCCAATCAACACACAGACCGTCAAAATTGTAATAATATAACACACATTGCAAACAAGTGGGAAGCTTTCAACATTCCTAATTATTATTACTTTCGGTTATCAGGGGCCGCATCTAATTTCCTCAAGGATGTGTGTGTGACTGAGTAACTGATAACATAATTATAGTGACCACACAGCAGAAACCCACCTTCCATGTTTTTTTGTTGACTCACCGGGTGGGGACTATTAGCAACACATATGTATCTATTTGAGCTATCATTAAAAAGTCAGGTTTCATGTTGCATTTATATGACTAATACTTAATTGTTTTTCCCCTCAGTGTTTAATTCTCAAATTGATATGATTCTACTACTACTTTTCTGAGCAAATGACGACAATAAATGTGAAGTGATACTAACTCAAGTTTTGATTTTCTTTTTAAAACCACATCTCACAACAAAAACAATATTAAAAAATATTAAAGCTTTCCAAATCTGTCCTCAATGCCTCTTGAATATGCAAGCAAATGAGGACTGCTACCTGGTACTGGCCCAGTCATTTTTGTTGTAGATATTACAGATACCTCTTGACACGCAGGTGTTAGGAAATGTTCTCATGTGCTTGTAATGCAAAACATAATTGAGAATATTTGGCAGGGTATTGTTGCAGATTCATCCAGCATCGACACCTGCTAATCCTCTGCAGTAATTGAAAGGAGGACTGCTGCACCCTGTTGGATAGCGCTTCAGCATGTTCATGTCCTCCAGGCATACATAGCGTGTAGACAGCACTGATTTTATTCAGATTTAGCCTTTATGTTGCCACATGAGAGAAGACAACATGAGATAATCATCAGAATGTCCCTATTAAGCAATCAGCAGCAGCTTGCTGTTATGTGATAGATTACCTCAGCATCGATAGTCAACCAAGCGATGGCACAGAGAGCAGTGGCAGCCTGGGACTTTTGTTGGGCTGTAGATAAAACTTTTTTCAAATACCAACTAGTCTGTGGCATTTAGGGACGTGCGATCATTTTCATTTAATCTCCCAAAATGGTCAACTTCCCCGGCCTGCTGATGGTAATTGAGGTCAGTTAGCCACAACAATGTGCCTCGTGAGAAAGGCCACATACAAACCCGTCGCTGTATCCGTTTTCCCCCTTTTTTTCATTTGATTTAATTGGATCTTACTGACGTCAACCTCATTGTTGCTCTGATGTTGTACAAATAATGTAGAACAGAATGTAAAGATGTTATTTTATAATATTGGTCAAAATTATCATAATGAAATATGATCTTTGGTTGGAGGAGCATATTTCTTAAACGTCGCAAAATCATTAGGCTGAATGTGAAACTGAATTCTACAAACGTGTTTAATTTATCAAAGAGCCAGTCGCTGAGTGTGAGGTCTTCACATTAACGAAACATTATGTCCTATTAAATGAAATGTCAATTAATCAGGCCTACATGTACACAAAATTTCTACAGTTGGGGACTCACAATTGTCTCATTTGCTACTTCTTATCGTGGGTATTAATGCTGAGATTACTATGAGCGATCCAGTGCTCCTCAAGAGCTGTGCCAATGCATATTCTCTCTGTAATTTCCACGCTTTGTTCATAATTATTTCTGTTACATCTTGCGGGAAAATCATTCGGATTAAGGTATCTCTCGTTGTCATCATTTCTTTCAGACAAATGGGATTTTAAAACCGACAATGAAACTGTCATATTATTTGGAATATCGATTCAACATATTTTTGCCAATCAGTGATAGTATTGAGGATAACCCTTTACGTTTATACTGTTACTTCTGTTTGTTATCAGTATGTCACTTTTTAGAGCACTATACGTGCATTTTTATAATTGTCATATGAAAACTAAATGTGTGACTCATGGAACCCTAGAATGAACCCTAGAAAATCGTTGCGGCGGTAAAACCTACTGCATGTAAAGTTGTTTCACTTGTCTTATTTTCATGAACGGTGCGACGATGGAACAAACAGTAGGTGGCAGGAGTGTCTTGTTTGAAGATACGTCCAATATCCACCATGTTGTTATCACACATCCTGTTCATCTGGGATACAAACGTCCTGTATATACTTCTATTTAAATACATGGACGTTTCTTTGTTTCCTTCCTCACAGATATGCTGTGTGACAGAAGTGTCAGCTACCTCACACTAAAGCCTGTCATCGCGTCCTCCTGTCGGCAGGCCCTGGCGCTCTCACGCTGCTGCTGGACAACATCACAATTGACACTAAGTGAACTTTGTGAAGTGTACATTTAACGTTAGGTCCGCAACACCGCTCGCGCTTGTGCGTGAGGCCAATGCTTACATAAAGGATGACTCACCAATGACTCACAAATGATTAACATGATGAATTTAGCCTTTCAACCAGTAAAAACACACTAGTCGCGAGCAACACAGCATTCTCAAATATTTGGTGCTCGCATGCAATAGCATGCTAACAACTAGTGAAAGTAGTGCCATCATTGAGTCAAATTTAAATGTACCCAATACTTTGGTATATAACCACATACCATCGAACTGAGAGGCATTAACTCAGCTTCTGCTGTGCTTTGTAGTGCTGCTTAGTAAATGATAACATGCTACAAAGCTAAACTTGGGGACCTGATAAACCTTATTGCACAAAACTACATGCTAAATATTAGCACGTTAGCTCAAAGCATTGTTTCGCCCATACAGTACAGAAACACAGCCGCTAGCACTGCGATGTCTTCCTCGACTCATTTTAATGTCTTCTGATACCGTATTTTTCCCTTTTGTGTGTATATTTCGGTATTATTTTTCTTTTTCCCACAAGTCTAAAGGTCTTTCATTTTTTGTACCTGGGTCCAAGGTGGCTGTGTTGTACATTCATGCTCCCCATACAGCAGCATTATTATTACAGTATTTGAGAAAGTTCTGACCTAAAGTTATATTCTGAACTATAATTCGGGTAGATGAAATCCAGCGTTCTGATTGGTTGTTCACATTGACCCCAGCGTTCCATATCACTGCGCACTCAAAGTAAGGGTTAGATTTTGCGTGACCATTAGTTGCCATTTCATTTTTTAGCTCGGGGGCGATCGCCAAAAAAAATTGAACAATTGAACAAACAAATGATCGGTTTTGGGCACTGCGAGCTTTCGCAATCGGACAATTCATGTGGACATCATGAGCGATGTGAATAAATGAGATTGTGCGAGATCTTCCAAGGAAAACCGTAACCGTATTATAAAAGCAATAAGGTACTCGAGGCAGTACTTTATCTACAATAATGTAACAACGGTTGCCCCCAAACCGTTACATTATTGGACGATAAAGTACAGCCTCTCATACCTTATTGCTTAAGAATATGATAAAAAGAAAGGAAGAGTCACTTTAGTCAAATTCTGAAAAGGAATCAGCCCAAATATGGCAGTCCCCTTCATAGACATGCTATAAATAACCGGCTCTTGTCAGTATAATGAGGGAACACATTGTGACAGAGTCCTCTCAGATAATAGGAGTCACTAAGATAACACAGTGTCACTTATCTTTCAAGACGATGTGATAATGAGTGACTGCAGATGTCAGAAAGACTGAGTGGGGTGGTTACATTGATGTGATTCAGCTCACTCCCCAATTTACTGATTTATGTTAAGAATGACCTTCAAAATTCAAAAAGCATGTCATGCACCTTTTCAGCAGTTTCTACAGACGTACCAAGCGGCGTAACATGTTTTATTTCACAGCCAGTTATATTCAAATGTGCAGTTTGCAAAATGCAGTGCAATTTGGAACAGCAAGTAAACACGACAGGTTACAATATAAAAGCAGAGCACCATTTGCCACCGTACAACAGTGTCATTTGAGGCTACATTTCCCTCGATACACAACTGAAAAATGTAGTTTGTTTACTCACAGCCTTTACTCAATGTGCTGTACTGTGCATCTGTTATACCTCGACTTTGCTATTGACATGATAACTGCCCTACATTCAGATTACTAAATATAAATTTCATAATGTGCTAATTCAGTTCAAAAAGTGTTATCTTGTAAATACACTCAGTACAAATACACTGACCTGGGATTGGGATTCACAATCTGTGACATACGTACATGGATTGATAGAACACAAACCCAGGAAAGCTACTTCTCACTTCACTGTATCAACCCCAAGATTGGTTGACTGTAGGAAACAATAGACAATAACAACAACAACACGTGAAGACATCAATCCACTCTGATTGATATTGGAGGAATGGTGGCCGTCAAACATATACATTATTATATTATATATTAATCTCTTTCCTGGTCTCTGTGAGGGTTTTGTACCTCTTTTAAAAACAGAGGCGTAATCAGGCTTATTTCGTTGCACCCAACACTGTTTTGCTGATTCAGTGAACCGTTGCTGCTATGGGACTTCATAGCTGAGAAAGTCTATTCCATCTTGACAAGTTTTGGAGCAGCTTTTTCTTTAGTGGGGGTGTTTCTACCCTCTTGCTCAGTCCTCCTGGGCTGTCTGGGGCTGCCAGCAGCTCTGCGGCCGGCCTGAGGGCTGGAGGAGCCGGCAGCCTTTTTGCGTTGGAGCAACGGACTCCGGGAGGCCTTAGGCTTCGACGGCGTCAATAAACAGTCCGTGACCTTCAGTGACCTGAGGCTGAGCAGACCGCAGAAGTAGTTGCAACGGTGGTGGGACACAAACTGCTCAAAAACTTTGGGATTCCCTTCAACAGACAGACCTTGATGCCTGCAGCAACACAAAACACAGCCAAATGTCACCGCTGTGATTGTTGTCAGTGTGAGTGTAAATTACCTGTAAAATTAGGATTTCACTCCATAATTATACGAACCCCGTCGATTTCACTGAAATCCCAACATTGGTGATCTTGGTGTCAACACCTGCGAAACAAAACAACACAGTTACTTTATTTTTCTGTTGTTCAGTAAACATTTTCAAATGCGACAGACATATGAATATTCACCGCATTAACTCCAGCACTAAACATGTAGGGAAAAAAATGAAAACACAAGTAGACTCTTATTGCAAATATATGTAATCCGTCAGCCAATCTTGAGCTTCACACTCACTGCCTCTTCAATTCAATATAAATGCTTGTCGTGTTGTGATATGAACTGGGATTTAAGGAAAGAATGTGGCCTCAGTTCAAAAGCATCTTACGTTCCAAAACACCCACATATTACTAAAAACTTAACACACATATTTTCTTTTTCCGTGTTGATTTCAAGCTCCAGCATATACCTTCAAGTCGGGTGAGTAGCAGACTGCCATTGGTCCACTGAAAGATCCAGTGCTGCAGCGCACAGCACTTCTTCTCTGCCTCGGTGCCGGACCGCATGTCTATTCCGCCTGAATCATCGAGGGTGCAGTATTTCTGATAGACCCCCGACAGATCTGTCTCCACTGTTGCATAAGGGGCCGGGTTTGCTGGTCGGTACATCAGGTAGACCGGGATCACCCTGTGGATGACACGGTTGACTTTTAGCGAGGCTGAACAGTGTGTCAACTGTAAATCATGTTCAAGAAGTTTTTAACTGTTGAGGAGAAGTTGACAGAGAGATCGTACGCACTCAATTAAAGGGCCAAAGTTTGCAATCGCTCTTGCCTCCGCGGAGAAGATTTTGCAGTATTCCCGAGCCAAGTTCTGAATTTTACACTCCTGTATCCAGAACATTGGAGAACGGCCAGTAAAGATATGCTCAATTTACATCAGTTTATTTATTTAATCCTGATCAGATTAGTGCCTCAGTATTTATATGTGGGTGGATGACTACTGACTGAATTAGTTTAATCCTGGATTTATAAAATGATTAAATGATATATCCAAGAATAGACAAATAAATCAAACCTTTTTACATACCTGCTTAACAATGTCCAGGTTCCTGTCTATAAGGCAGCTTTCTGCTTTACCTCCATAGGCGATGGGGTTGCATACTTTGATGATGCATGGTTTTCCAGACTCAAACACAGGCTCCAGACCATAGATGACCTTTGCCCTCCAGACTTTATGAGCACATCCATCTCCAATATGCGATTCCTGCATCATTATACGTCCAAAAAATTTGTTACCCCAGGCGCCTGAATCAGCCACACCCTTGTTGAATATCATGGGTGTCATTTCGATCTCTTCTCCAACTGCATAAAGAACAAATGTAAGAATGGCAGTCAGAAAAGAATTTGGGCTCTGACTTTGGAAAAGCCGCGATTGAAACACAAGTCTCATCTTACCACAAAGGTCCTCGCGTAGGAACATTCCAGCCAAGACTGCAGCATCGTGAGAGAGAAAGCGGAATAAGACTGGTTTCAAATATTCAAATATTGGAATTAAGCCAAATGTAAGGTAAAAGAGTACTTACTATCTGCACTAAGGAGACAGTCTGTTGATTTGGTCCCATATTCATTTGTGATCGTGCAGCTGTAAACACCAGAGTCTTTGCAGGTGGCCTGAACAATTGCAAGATTAACCTGAGTTTCATCCCCTGCGCTGAGAAACAAATAAGAAAATCCATTTGTTTTTCTATTTCGCACGTTTTCTTACCATTTTTGAAAAAGAAGCAACAAAACCATACTGTGCAATATTTCATATGAAACTGCAGATTTTCCTTGGCGTTCCAATGAACACTTACTTTACTTTAATCTGAGCAATTGCCTCTGTATTTCTGTACCATTTGATTGTAGAGTCACTGAGTACGTTGAAGAACTGGCACCACAATTTTAAGTGTCCTGAGGCATCTGCAAACGTTTCACCCCTGACCTTACGAATGACCTGAGGCGCTAGAGGGTAAGAGGCACAACACAGAAGGCATCGTGAAGAAACCTTTCTATGTTGATGTATTCTGTGTTGTATACTAAATAGCAAACCTTTCTTTGCTAGATAATTTAGCTTTATGTGGAAAACTCCCTGATCTTTCACAATATTTCACAATGTATACATTACTATTTGATACAACTACTGCTAAAGTAGGACACATTTTAATCTTCCAAGCATTGTCACAATTTCTATTAAAGCTACTAACCATTTTGGCTACTGTACCTTTGAATGGGTCATGCTTCTCCTTCTCTGCCGGTTTCTCCTGAGTTTTGGGGATCTCCGGTTGACTTGGTGCTTGGGTCTCAGAGGCCACCTTCCTCCTGCTCAACAGCGGAGAGCGCCTTTCTGCCGGACCGGTTGGCTCCACGGGGGGCCGAAGTAGAGGTGACTTCCTTGACAGGCTTGGAGACGGGGTGAGGGATACGGGATTTGCGGAAGGCTTGCGGCTCTCTGCGGGAGCTTCCTTTGCCTGGGTGGGGTTATCAACCGGTAATGTGACCTCTGAGGCCTCATCACTTTTGGCTTTGGGTACGATGATTTTGCGTCGGGCCCCAGAGGCTAGTTCTTGTGGAGTAGCGGAAGCAATAGGAGAAGCACAGTCTCGTTTCTTTGACAACGGACTAGCAGCAGCGGTTGGATTGCCTGAAACTTCAGGCCTTGAAAATTCCTCAACAATGAGTTGAGCGTTTTCTTGTGTATCTGTTCCATGTACACCGTCAGCGGCCAACGTTTGTACACTCTGCAAAGGCCTGCTGTCTGAGTCGTGTTCTTCCATTTGGTCTTGATCTAGAGTTGTGGAATTCATTTCATTAATCCCCTCTGGAGTTTGGAAGTTGAGCGTAGTTTCTGTGGTTAACTTGAGTGCACTTCGCACATCTTTGCCTTGGACAGATTCACATTCGGCATGCTCCAAAACAACATTACATGACTCTTGATCACTGTGCTCGAGAGGTGTAACTGCAAGTGGAGTCCCAGGTTCTGGTGGGACAGTTCCGGATGGAAGTCTTTTTGTCAGTTTATCCTTTGAGTTCAATGGAGTGTGAACTTTTTTTACGTTTCCACTTTGAGAAAGGTAAACAAGAGGGCAATTTTTCAGAGGAGCTTGAGTTGAGGCTCCATTTTCTCGGCCAATGTCCATGACACCTTCCTGACATGTTCTGTCACTACCATGAAGTCCTTCAGTCTCTATGACAGAGATTGGGGGGATGACAGACGGGTTTTGTAACGCCTGAACACGCTGTGAAGTTGCACATTGAGACTGAATCTGTTCCTGATCAGTTTTATTTGGTTGATTATAAACGTCAATGAGGGTTCCTTTTGTGTTTCTGGGAGGAGTTACACTCGTGTCAGTTTCACTGTCAGACATCAACTTTTTCTCTGTTGGTTTACTGTGATCTTCTTTCAACTCCTCAAATGCTTCTGTCACAGTTGTAGTCGGATCTCGTTCAAAACAAGCATAAACCGGTAAGTCGGTCACTGAATTTAATTGTACGGAATCAAGAGCCTTTATTTGTGATCCGAACAGTCCAGCTAAATGTGTGTCTTTTGTGACAGGTTTTGTTTTTTCCTGGATCTCTTTAACTTGGAGTTTGGACGTTTTTGTGTATTCTGAGGTTTTTGACCGGAGCTCCAACATAGATGAGTGTAGATCCTGTGTTGCTGAAATAGTTTCCTCTTTCATTTCTAGTATGTGCTCATTCTTCTCACTTTCTTTATTAGAATCACCCACAATGACAACACCAGTGTCGGCTGTGTCTTTGGTCGTTTCTGTTTCTTTGTGTTCAATCATATGCAGAAGAGTACTTTTAATCTCTATCTCAACTATCTTTTCATTTGGAGCCACGCTGTCAGACTCCAGGAACACCTTCCCTACCTTTTTCCCTTCGACCTTCTCATCAACTTGTAATTCTGTCCCTTCAACAGTTTTTATAGCTGTATTAAATTGGCTCTGCTGGGTGCAGGAAGAAACGTTACACCCTTGGAAGTTCTCACCACCACCAGGGCTTTGGAGTGGGGACTTCTGTGTGTCTGTAAAAAGGGCCCTATGGCTTTCATTTGATCCCCTGGAATGGTCCCATGTGTCCTGTGTCATTTTATCAATTGCTGCTTGCAGACCGCAGTGCAACGACGGGGTCTGGATGTCATCTGCCACAGTCTCTCTCTCTGATCTGGTCTTCTGTGGTGGTTGCGCATCCATCTGGTTGGGGGGAATCTCAAGGCCGACAGGTGCATCATTCCTCTTTATCTTTGTGTGGGCCTGTGTAACCTTTGTGCAAAATACAAGCAGAGGTTTCCACGCTGTAAATACTTATTGCCTTATCCCTGGCTATGCAGAACGTGGACAAACACATGTCATTTTAAAAACAGCAACGGCGTAGCCAGCAACAAACAGAGAACAGAATAGGAAGACCTTGGAGCAAAAAGGGGGATTTATGAAAAAGAGAAAAGATGGATTGTGAAAACAAGGAAACTTTCCTTCACCAGTGTGGAATTTCCACATGGCTCTGTGAAATACGTGCCACATTAATGTTTGCATCTGTGACGACTCAAAAAGCCTGCAAATGATAACTTCCTGTTTTGTTCTTTTGACCACACGTCCATCCGTCAAGAACCACTTTACTTCCTGTCTTTGTTTAGTTTCCCGCCCCTTTCCCCCCCAAATTTGGTTTACTATCACCCCACATATGTTCAAGCCCCAGTCAGTCACTGAATCCATGTCAGGTTATCCATCGTCTTACCCCAAGATTGTATGAATCAAGCCACCAGTGTTCCGAGTGTTTATTTCTGGTCTTCCTGTTTTTTGTAGCCAGGCCTTTTTCTTTCTCCTTCTCCAGCGTGTCAAGTCCACTTGTGGCTGTGCTACTTTTTGATTTGTTTAGTAAAGTTTTTAGCCAGTAAAGATCCCGAACCTGGAGAGAAGTATTTTTGTTGTTTTGTTCCTCTACGCTTGAGTCTCAGTCTGGATACCATTCATGTTACAATCACAGGGATGCCAGTAGACATACTGTATGATTAGGATGTTTCTCAGTTTTGTTTTTATATTGTGAATAAGAAAACTATTCTAAACTTCCATGTGGACTTATCAGTTAATCCAGCACATAAACTAACACAGTTCCAGACTCTACTTTTTGCTGTGACAATAAAAAAAACTGCTGTGATACAGTATATCTAAACAAAACCTCAAGCACGATGCACTACTCACTTTCATATGTCTCTGCCATACAAGCATGTTGGTTGAGCTTTAAATCCCCCAAGTCTGATTGAGCTGAATCCCTTTGTAATTTAGCACGAGAGGCTCCCTCTGTCATATGTCATGAGATAAGCCACAATATATCTTAAGGGTCATTCTCATTCTACCAGGTTCTTTTAAAAAGCAACTGCAAAACATTCAAATACACACATATACATTCTTACTAAATATATTAATAAATCACATAGGAAATCTGTAGCCTTTTCTCAGCTGCTTGGTTTCCCTTCTTCCTTTCCATCTAATGCTGACACGGGCAGGCCTATTCATCAGGGAAGCTATTTTACGTTTTAGTGTGGCCAGAAAGGAATGTGAATCATTTTAAGAGGCGCTTCAGCTGTGCGTGGTTTTGTCTCAGCACTCACTGTTGTCAGTGTTCATGAAAGCTAGTCAGGAGTATTGCATGAGCGGTGTACAATAAAGACAGCAAAGCTAATGCGTACATAGGCTGTTGAAAAATGTAATGTTATCATAAAGGTCTAAAATCCTCAATCAGCATCTCTCAAGTTACCAAATGAATGTCTCAATAATATATCTCATTGTGAGATCCATGTAAAAAAAAGAAAGTATTAAAACAAAAATTACCTTCTGACAGAGTGACAGAGAGAGGCTTTCTGTTTCCCTGTTTCCAGTCTATGTGCTAACTCAAGCTAATCAGCTGTTGGCTGCTATAGATTTAACAGACAGAAATGAATGTGGAATTGCTTAATCTATGTATCCTAACATTTTATAAGTATAATTCTGAATTTATGGCATAAGAAACACTGCAGCTCTGAACCTTTGAACTAGGTACTTTAAAAACATGGATGTACCCGTGGCATCTGTCAACATGTGCGTCATTTAGGTCTTGTCACACAGCAGGGCATACTTGTAAAAGCCATAAATAGCTCCAGGATGCTTGTGTTACTGATGAGGCCTGTGTTGGCAGCACAAAGCGCTCATGAGCTCATGCAAAAAGGCTCCCTCACCTCGTTCAGCGGCGCTGGGCGAGACACAGGTGCATTTCTTTGGGCGGGGCTTGTTTCCTTCGCAGACAGCTGATGTCCTGCTGGTTCACATGGACGCTGAAGTGAAGCGGTTCTGCTCTCACGTGGTGTTTTCACCGACACAATGTCTCTGTGCGCCAAAGATCCACCAGTGGGACAATTTGACTTCTCATCCACATCCATGACTTCAACATGTTCTGTCTTAGAGATGTAACTCTTTGCTGTGCTTCGGGGTTGTCGGGATGCTGTTGCAGCATTTGACTGTTGATGTGTCGAGGTCAAGTGTGGACTTTGTTTCTGGATTTTTAAATTCTGTTCAGTTTCATTACCTTCAGATCCTGAAACAGTCTGACTTGTAAAAGCAGCAGCGGGAAGCTGTCCGTTCTGTGAAGGAACAGCTGCCCCAACAAAAATGCTGTCCCGCTTTAAAGGCCTTTCACCACTCAATACTTCCTCTGTTTCAGTTCCTGAAACAGTACGAGTCATAAAAGCAGCAGCGGGTACTGAGGTGGGAAGCGGTCCTTCCTGTGAAAGAACAGCCACCTCGACACATACATTTTTACCCTTCCTGTGTCTTTCGGTTTCTGACTTCCGATGTCGTTCTGTCACCTTCCTGGAGTCCTCAACTGATGAAGTAACAATGTTGTCTACTTCCATAAACTCTTCTGCATTCCCCTCTGCAGGAATTGGCACTGTGCACGCCAGACTTGGAGAGGTCAGGGTTTCATCTTTTGCCCTTTTCCCCTCAGACGGCAGCTCTCCTGGTGTACTGTTGGAAATTTTAATCTTCTTTTTGACAGGGGGAGTCTTGGGTTGGTGTGCAATAAAAATCTTCTGGGAAGAGTCGTACGTAAACGTCCCGCTCTTGTTACCGTTTTCACACACCACAGTCTGTCCGTTAGTTACAGCTGACCCTGCTCCGTTAGTGATGCCGACTGGCTTTTCCTCCACCTCCTGCACAGTGGCCTCCTGTAACCTGGCTGCGTTCTCCTCCGTCTGGAGGCTCTCCTCGACGCCCTCGTCCTCCATGGAGCTCGGCGTGCTGAGAAAGGCCTCCATTGTGGAGCGACGCTTCCTCTGTGTGCGGTCCGGACTGATGGTTCGCGGCGGCTCCTGGTTTTCTTTACCTTCCGCCTCGCTCCGTCTGCTCTCTGCCTTTTGTTTGAGTTTGGAGAAGTAGCGCTGGTGGATCTTGAACTCGTTCATTTCGCCCACCTCCAGAACCCCAGAGCAGGACACAATGCCTTTGCTGTTGCTGGCTGAGGTCTGGTATATAGCTGCGTCCTCCACAGTGCAGCTGCAAAGAGAAGCCGATTTAATTTTGAACTAATTTGTCCCCGGCAAGAACAAAAGTGAGAATTAAAAATAGTTGTGTTAGCTGAACTCGGCTCATGACACAGGCTCTGTATGTATTAAAACCCAGAGTATTTGTTACTGTGCAGGCATTCAAATTTGTTCATTCAAAGATTGTTAAGGTAGAAAAAATGAATTCAGATGTGAAATCAGTGGTTTCAAACATACATACTTGTAGATGTGCAGGGAATGGTTTTGTCCATTGCGAAAAATTTCATATTTGGGCAGTCCACAGTATCTGTCCAACTGCACATCATCCTTGTACCAAATAACTTGAGGAATAGGATATCCTGAAAAAAATAAATATATATCATCATCACCAGGGGAAAACATTTCTGCATCAAGTGAAAAAAGTTTATCCTGCAATTACTGCAGTGTAAATCTAAAAAAAGTTTGTTTTGCATCTTATCCAAATATTTTCAGCTGCTAAAGATGCAGAGATTGATGGATATTGAGTCTTATATTTTCTTTACGTTTTCACACAAGAACTTAATTATTGTATGTTCCTGTAATGCATTTCCATTAGGCCATAAACAGCTAGCTTGAAGCCTTGCAAAGTTGAACAACAAGGTTGTTTTTACCTGTAACCACACACGAGAACTTCACATTGCAATTCTCAGACACAGCTCTTGACTTGAGGGTATTTTCGAAGGACGGCTGGGTTTCCTCAGTTAACTGTGCCATCATGCTGCACAGTGTGCTCCTGTGCAAGAGGTGGTTGAGCAGTTGTTACCAGATGGTGTTGAGCAGTTGTTACCAGAGACAACAAAAACCGAGGTAATTCTTACAAATCTATATGCATTCCATATAAAAAAGAAAGAAAAGTGTTTTGATTGATATTTGCCATCTGTTTTTTAGAATGAACCAATATTTGTTATATGAAAGGCAGTCCAGACATAATAATTAAACACATGAGATACAGCGTGCCCCTTGTATACATATCTGGTGTTGACATCCATTTCGGTGTCAGGTCAGCGTACATTTACTATTACACTTCACTGCATGCTGAACATCACCGTATTATCAAATAAGTTAAAAGGTTCGGGGGAGAAGAAAAAAAAATCTTTATCTGAAACCTTAAGGTCAACATAGGCTGCATATCCGGGAGGCTTTTCTTAACCAACACTTGAGGGCAATGGAAACAAACTAGTATAAGTATTGATGCTACATTAACAACAGGTAGTACAGCACACTGGGTTAGTGTTGAGTCTGTACCTGTTCTCTGGGCGCACGTTAGAGAGGTAGCTGCAGCTACTAGACCGGCTGCTCCCACTCATATCCTCCCCGCTGTTGGATCTCCCATTGCCAAGAGAGGAGCGCGATGTCGTCCTCCGTGAATCCATTTTCCACCAGATAAAGTAATACTTCAGGAGAAAAATAGTTTGTTTTGTCCCTTTTTTGGGGGGTGCGGGAGGCTTTCCAGAGAGATTGACGAGAGCTGAAAGTAAGCCAATAAACAGTGATTATGCAGACGGAACAATGGAAAGTGTCCTGAAACGTAAAAGTAATAAGGTTATAGATTCAACTCACCATTCACAAGTACCTCTGCCTCCTTTGACTGACGCCCCTCAGCACTGCCTTCAGGCACTGCAATTTCCAATCAAACATGAGCATGCGAAGGCTGCTGTACTATTTATAGTGGGCCTGCAAATAGGCACAAGAGCACATCACAGTTTCCAAAACTTGTCTATGGACCATTTAAAACAGGGGTCTCAAACTCGTGGCCCGCGGGCCAATCGCGGCCCTCAGGACGATATTTTGTGGCCCCCACCTTAATATGAAAGTGTAATGTTAGTGCGGCCCGCGAGTTTCATATTGATATTAGCGGCCGCCTACAGCGCCCGTACCTGATTTGAGTTTGAGACCCCGTATTTAAAACACGCATGCACACAGACGAGAGAGCACGCAGCGGGGTGGTCAGTATCTGGCTGTCCTTCCCCTCAAACCGTTTGGCTCTGTGCAGACAGTTGCACACAACAACATGAGTCCGTCAGTCAGGAGAATGACGACTTCACTCTTAAGCCCATTGATGCGAGCAGTACATTCTCTCTGCCACGCAGTCTCACGAGGTTACTTTCCTAACATGGAAGTGTGGATGACAATGACTACTGTTTGACTGAATTGGCAATTTTATCTCCCCTATTACAGAATTCATTAAAAGACAAAAGGACATTTTACTACAAAATAAAAATACGATTCTGAGAGCTGTGGCATGCATTCTTCACCAAGCAACGTTTGCATTGGATGGCCAGAGGAACAGCAGTAGGAATAGAACAGCCTTATATAGGCCGACAACGACCACTGCCAACCCAAGATATGGGGTTTTATCTTTACAAAAACATGCCCCCCCACCCAGACACACACACACACACACACACACACACACACACACACTTGTGTATTCTCACACACACACAAATCAGCAATCAGGAGTTAGATTTGTTTTTTTGTTCTTAACGGAGTTGAATTGATTAAACACCACTTAGACAAATGTTTGAATGGAAAAATGTACCCTGGTATCATTGATGGTCTCATCAAACAAACCAAAACGAATTGAAAAAATAATTAACTAGTAAGATTTATAACTATTTATTATCAAAATGACCTCTATGAAGGTGTTATTTTCACTGTGAACTTATTAGTTGCATGGTAAACAAACTGTAAATCCTTCAAATATTCTTTGAACTCAACTGATACTGTTGCTATCGTCTGAATTACTGCTTCCTTGAGTTCGCTCTCCGAAATCAAGTTCAAAGATATCCATTTTAATTTTACTCTCACGTCACCACATCCGCTTGATATTACAGACGCCCTTGAACCTTCTGTTTATTTCAATTTTTTGTTCCGTCCCTTCCCTTCACGTTCCTCTATAAATCACGCACTTTCCACTTTTCTTGCCAGGTAAGTGACTCAATTTAACAACCAGGATTAATTTAAGAATTTAATTTCAAAATAAAGGAAAACGTTCAAATAAAAATGACAGATTTAGCAATGTCTGCATTGCTGTAATGTTGGACTTGTGTGCGCGGTGGAGCCCTGTGTATGACAGGCAGTCCTCTTTAGAGGGCCTGGAAAACGCAGTGGTCGGCAATGGCATGGTCTGAATACTCAGGACGGGGTGTACAGAGAGATCAAAGCACAGCGTGGGGGGGGGGCACACAGAGGACGGGAAACTCTGTCATGTGACTGTTTGACAGTGAATCCCCTTGAGCATGTTGCTGCTGATGGCTGGAAAGGGATTTCCTAGTGTTGAACCACATGCATGTCAATATATAAAATGGCATAAGCCAAAGATATTGTCAAGAAATAGAATCAATGAACATTCAAATCCTTTCCGAGCACCTTTATTGGCCAACCACTTCCGTAAAAGGCTGCATTCCCTAAAACAAATTATTTCAATATCCTTTTTGATCATTTCTCTCCAAATATGAAAACCTTTGGGTTTTGGAGGAAACTTTAGACATCACATGCTCATTGCCACATGCTTTTCTTTTTATAGCGCTTCCCCAAATCCTGTTGTGTCTTGGTCTGGCAGATTTATAGACGGGGCTACTACAGATAATGCCCACTGAGATCACTTTTATAATGAAACCATTATCTGTTTTTGCTAACACAAATAAAAATGTAATTTAATGTTTCTGTGCAATTTAACAGTCGCAACAATTTTGTTATGAACAGGTGGCGTGTGTGCGTAAAGTTGCCTGACAACCAATAAACACGTGATGGCGGACAGGCCTCTTCAAGTCACTTTTATTGGCCGGGTTTTAAAATGCCTTTGATGGTGTTTTATGAGGTAATGAAACCCGCTCCTGTGTTAGTAAGAGAGAGAATATGTTTGCCCTTTGTTTGGGTCTGTAGATTAATCAAGTGGTTGTATGGGTTCATATTATTTTAGTGTTTATTAAGGAAAAATCTTTCTTGCACTTGATGCAAATAGTTAACTTAGTTAAAAACATCTTAGAGAATTAACAGGGTCAGTAGTTTGTGTAAAACAAATTTATTATAAAAGAAAGTGGGCAATAAATGTTTGATGCTGAAAATAAACTCTTAAGATAAATCACTATTTTTCAAGCTACATGGAGCACCAGCTGCACTGGAACATGCTGTTCCAATCCAACTGGGATATTAAAGCACCCAGATCCAAGACGCGGAGTGGTCGTGTCAACACGGGCCGACGGGAGAGGGGCGCACCAACGGACAATCTCGGACGGGAGGCGATGATATGTCAATCAATCTTTCTGGGTGCACCTTAGCATAGCTTATCGGCCCATAAATGCAGAATACAGACAAAACGGACTTTCAACTGAGTCTGATATGATGAGCGAAAGCAGCTCAGCCAGTGCGGCGTGGCTCTGGCGGGAGGTTTTACAGGCCGGGTGCCAAGTGTACCCTCAGTGACGCTCCAACACGCAGGCACAGTAGGACAGCGGATTGTTGTGATGTTTGAGAGGTCTCTGTGGAAACCGCGCTGGGCTTTGTACGGCCGCCTGGCCCGCTGTTGAGGCTGTGACATCATCATCTGGATTTTCACACCAGTGTCCGGTCCAAGGAAGCCGAAACAGGAGAAGACTTCACGGCCTCAAAAGACAGCTGTGTGACACACACACACACACACACACACACATATTGGTGGGCATTTTGGTCAATGGGATACATATTGCATTAATCCGTTTTCCATTAAATTCCATCACACTTTGTGTAGGTATATATATATATATATATATATAAATAAATAAACACACACGCTTGATAATATAAATTATTGAAAATATCAGTTTTGCAGTATAAGCGTTCCTTTTATGCACAAAGTATAAGATCTGTGTTGCTCACATTGGACCACAGCTGCTGAATGTACATTTTGCAACTCCATACTACTGACAAATACATTCATATTTATTATTGACAAATACATTCATAATTATTAGAAACCTTTTTAAAAGTTGACAGTAACACTGCAGGGCAAAGTGATTTTTCAGCAGGTGGACTTACAGTGTCTGGTGTCCTCTAGTGGTATTAGTGTTACCTAATACCACTAACCCTTAGATAAAACTCCAGAGTACCACCGGAACACAAACTTGGATTGAGTGCCTCCATTTTCTGGTGTAAAAGGCAACGATTTGGTGTCTCACTTTTATGCAGTATAAACTATGACTATAACTATAAACAATGATAGACATCGAGCCATAGACGTTGACCAATTTTGAATTATATATTAACTCCTGAGCAGTCATACAAGGTAAAGAGTCAAAAATGAAGATACAATTTCTAGCGTGTTAACTGTTATAATCAAAATGAAAATAAAAGGTCAATTGAGAATCAGTAACTACTTCAGCACATAAAAACTAATGAAAAGATGACATTATCAATACATTTGAGCTTTAACTCCATGCATGAAACATTCTACAAGACTAACACTCACTTTTAAACATTGATATAGATGTAAAAAAGATTTAAAAAAAAACGAACTGTGGTACATATATAAAAGGTTAACCCATTTAGAGTGTAATAAAAAGAAACACATAGTAAACTTCCTGCACACATACACGTATCAACATGATTTGTAAAGCCATATGTTACCCAAAACCTCTATAAGTGTACAGTTACTTTCTTCTGTCTTTTTTCTTCAGCATGTCAACAACAGACGGAGCCTTGCGCTTTGTGCCTACAGGAGGAGACCCGACGGTATTAGTATTAGTGAGCAGGACGTTCTGTAAACATGACAAACACCAGCGAGGAATAATCCTGCACTACCTTGTCTTTTGACGGGTGATTTGTTGGCTGATTCAGCGGAGTCTCCTGATCTCTTAGCATAAGCCAACTTCATCCTCTGGATGTTCTTCTTGCTGATGACTTCGTGCTTTGCGATGGGCTGCGGATAGTCTTTACCCACAATGCATCCTGCTGCCTGCTGAACGCTGCGTGGCGCTTTCCAAGGCTCGTAGATGTACTCGGCCGGGAACTTCTTCAGAAGAGGAAGGTACTTTCTAAAAAAGTAGAAAGGAGGCTAAAATACTCATTATAAAAAAAAGATATATATATATAATACATATTGTATATACAATATGTGTATCATTTGTGAAAACATGAGTTTATTAGGTTCATGCTCTTACTTGATGTAGTCTCCATTTTTGTCCGTCTTCTTGCCGAATGCGACGGGGGAGTAGACCCTGAAGTACTGGTGGAAGAAGGCACTTGCCGAGAGCCATTGCCAGTTTCCGGCATTCAGAGCCCAGTCGCCATCCAATAAAAGCTCCTCAAACACCTTCAGGGGCAGTCAGCAAAAGTGAGTCCTCCACAGATTTAGCATCGCACTCCTCTAAGACGTGCAGGTGGATGGTTGAAAAAGGATGAAAATCCACGCAGCAGAATCCTGTTATTTTAATTTCATGCATTCTTCCTTATCAAAACCTGACGCCTAAACTTTTCGCAATGCAACTCGAGTGCCGACAGTTTGCTAGGACACTCGGGTGTATTATGCTTGTGGCGGCTGATGTAGCCCAAAGGTGCTGGCTGGGAGCAGAGATGATGAGATCCGGTAAGCTTACATTTTTCTGACTACCCATCCTCCGATCTTTTTCAACTTTCTCATCTCATAGTCTTGGTACAAAGCGATATTTATATCTAGATGCAATCTCATTTTACTCACCTTCTGCCCTTCTTCCCAGCTGATCCACAGGTCTCCTCTGGTAAGGAAACAAGCCACAGCATGTCTGGCCAGGTGGTGGATCCAACCCTCCTGCCTCAGCTGAGTCATGATGGCGTCGATGAAAGGGAAACCAGTCCGAGCCTTAAGGGGCACACAGAATATCCAGGAACGCAAGTGAGTTATAATGGAAATTTAAAACGTCAGTTCTTTCTATTTAAGAATGTAAACGATTCAGTACCTCTCTCCATGCAGCCAAATACTCAGGGTTTGTGTCCCAATCCACCTGGGTACATACAGGGTTGCCCTCCATCTTGTTGAAATTGGAGATGCCTACACTGGCTGTGTAGAAGAACTCTCTCCACAGTAGCTGACCATGCAGGGAGACTGGAGGACTGGAGTGCTTCTTCTGCAAGGCCACACAAACACCAGCAGTCAGACTAAGTGCAAAGTTAGGACATCTACTATAGAGTTAAACCTACCACCCATTTTCTTGCCTATTTCTTACTAATGTATTTAACAGTGAGGGCAGTGAAAGTAACAATACTATTACAGACCATCGGTTGTGCAGCCTTATTCTAGCATGGTAACACTCACCCCCTGATAGACCTCTGCCAGCCTCCACCAGAAGGTGCGCGCAGACAGGCAGCCAAACGTGACGTACGGACTGAGGACAGTGGTGCTCGGGCTCAGAGAGTTTGGAGAAGTCTGTGGCTTCTCAAAGCTGCAAACCCATCCCTGAAGAAAACATATCCTGAAAGTCACACGGAGCCTATCCATCAAAGATAAGATGTGCACGCTTTCCGTTTTCGGTATAATAAATATGTAGGTTCATAGAAAATACACCAAATAGAAGATTAAGTCCAGAGATGCTTTACTTAAGGAAAGATGTGCATCTGCTGTAAACTCCACACCCTTCTAGTTAAGAGAGGGCCGATTGGTGCTACGTGTGTAGCTCTTCTCCCTCTGCTTCTGAAACAACTTAAAAAGCTCCTGTTGCCGCAGAAACTCTCCATTCTGGCAGAGATCCTCATTAAACACAGATCAATTCCCTTTTGAAAAGCCTCCACGATCTCAATGGCTTGCAGTTCGGCTCTCTCTGCCAGCACCTTCAAAACGGTTTAATGATAAAGCATCAGTGGGAGATCAACGACGTCTAAAACTAGAGCTTCTATTCCTCCTTCGTCAGCTCGTTCAGGAGCTTCTGGCTTTAAACTGAAAGCTTCACTGGGATTACACAGCTCTCCTCCAGTAGAAGTGCTTCACTGGGTTTGACAGCCTCGGGTTTGCTCCTCTCCTTTCTCCACTTTCTCTCTGCTCATCTCATGGATGAGGGCTTCAGCTCTCTTCGGAATAACCACCTATTCCCGCGACACATTGTGACGGACTCGCGCTATCCGACAGCATTTGGAGATGCTGTACGCCGAGACCGACCTCTCATTTTGTCACTTTTTTGTGAAGGACTTATTTTGAAATAGATGTCAGGTGAACATTATAAACGAGTGGAAGAGCATACTTATGTTTCTGGAAAGAAAGAAAGCAAAGTACCGTTCTCTTCATATGTTTGTCTAATCTCCTCAGAGCCTCCTGTTCTCCTCCTGGGAACTGCTCCTCTCCGAGAGCTGCTGCGTCCTGGCCGAGCTCTTCCAGGGTGGGAATCCCGTATTTCTTCTCATGGTTTTCCGAACAAGGCGTCATCGCACCTGTGACGGAAGAATTTGGGCACATTTCAATTAGCCACTTGTTATGCTTTCCTGTCATTTCGCAGCTTTACCGGTTAAACTAATTGGATGTATACCTTATTTTCATGAATGCATTCTGATAATTCACTGGCATAATCTAGTAGTGGTACCTTGCATATCTTCTATGGTCGGGGCAGGGACGGGTCTCTTAGGAGGACCAAGAGTCTTCACTATTACCTGCATTCGGTTATAAGTAAGCGGAGCCTTGCCACTGTTTTCCTCAATTATCCTATGAAGACAACAAAAGAGTTGCTTTTTAATGTATGACACAGCAGGAACCATTCCTGAGACCGAATATTCCATAACTACAATTGCATAAAGTAGGTAGGTCCATCATTAGTAATCAATACCTTTCTGTATCATAAAGAGTGTGAGAGATTTTGTAGATGACTTCCACTCCGTGTTCTTTGGCCAGCGTGGCCACCGTTTTGTCCCGGCTCAGGCTGTAGGGCTCCGTGTCGTACTCGTAGGTCAACTTTGTAACCTTCCACCTGTCGAACAGCTCGGGAAAAACTTCCTCTGGTTTCCCCCTCACAACAAACAGCCTGAAGGAGACAAAAAACAAACACACACAATAACATCTCTGTGTTTGCAACTTACATAATCATTATTTTTTTCTGAATGTGGTGCTGGTGTCTCTACCTGGAGTTGAGCCCCCTGAGGCTGCAGTCCAGGTCTTTGAGGGCTCCGACGAGAAACCTCCAGCGGTTGATGCCCACACAGGTGTTGTTGTGGAGGTGAGGGTCCAGAATGAACACCGGATACAGCTCCTTACAGTCCCTCAGAGCAGCCATCAGGGCCGGGTTGTCATGCAGCCGGAGGCCCTTGCGGAACCAGTGAACACACGTATGAGCCATGCCTCTGCACCTGAGAACACATCAGGTTAAGTGAGGACATTTCCTTATTCCACTATGAGCTTTAACGGAAGCATAAGGGAATTAATGCACAGACATTGTATGACAATGCAAACTTTATGCAAGTTGATTTCAAGTGTTCGGGTTTCAATCCTTCTTGAAATTGGATGGTCTATATTTGGAAACTGTAGTAATTGATTGTGCCCTTATACCACAATGTTGCAGAAACAAAATCCCCAAACATACGACCCAAGAATATGATAGCAGTGATGCAAAACACTACCTTAAACAGCCCCGAACACAATTCCGCTTAGTCGATGTTGGGTACGCTGGGAGATGTTTGGTAACCAGCACATTTTCGTTACAAAACAGGAAGCTCTGCGACGTTCTCAGCAAAATCAGCCAACCGGAGGCGAGGAGAAGCACCACGTGCAGCCCGTGCAGTTTGTCCGTCTGTACACTAGATGTCGCCTCTATGTGAACAATACGAGCCAAGCTGCAAGTTTTCTCGGCTAAACATGTGTATATTTTAGTAAGTGTTCTTTGGCCCATTTTCGAAATACAATTATTTGTGGGATGTTTTCCCACCATATTAACGACAAGCAGAAACACCAGGGATGTTTACATAACCAACCACCCATTCATACAATAGAGCGGCCGGGGTCTGGTTTTAGCGTTAAGTACGCCCTCTTCCCTCAACACATTCGCCAGCCCATCGTAGCTCGCCGTGATCGTATAGTGGTTAGTACTCTGCGTTGTGGCCGCAGCAACCCCGGTTCGAATCCGGGTCACGGCATTGCGATACACAATGTCACGGCAGATGGGCTGTATTTTTGCATTTTATGTTTGTGACAAACTCGTTGTTAATAATTCGTCAACCACCTTATTTTTCGGCACGGAAAGTTATTTTACGTGATGTTAGTGAAATGAGTAGACCTACATGTACTCAGGTAGTTATTCATAAAACTAGTAAGACTACCGTCACCGTCAACGTCCCTTTGCGGGTTGAGAACATCGTCCACCTTCTAATTAATTTTAGTACAGACGTATCGCTACATTTGAAAGAAAAAGGCGGGTTCGGACGTCAAATGAAAAGTTGATTTTGTAGAGAAAACGTTCTCGGTGAACAGCGAAGACAGGAATAAATAAAATGCAAATAAAATGATCATGTATTACATTGGCAGTGCATACGTTGCATTTGTGTACAATAAACTACTATGGACATTTTACAAGTTAGTTAAAATTAATTAAATATATGCAGATTAATGTCGCAACAACACCAACCCAAAACACCATAGTAACAAAACCATGCACCGGACCATTTGTCTAATAAATGTGTATTTTGCAAGTCAGGATGGAAACGTATTTTTCGTAGTTTCGCATTGACGGCTGCACTGAGGTAAAGCAGCTAAATGCTACAACGACAGTTGCCCTTTTCCTCGTTTCGCTAATTTCGTAAATAGCCAACAGAGGGAGACACAGCCAAAGAAACCGGAACATTACTGCTGTAGAATGTTAAAGTAGTGTGCGTGACAAACACTTCTCTCAGTGGTTTGTATGTTACAATAACCTTTGAACTTTTCCAATCCCCATTGGTTTTAATAGACGTCAATCAATAGAATCAGTACAGATACGGTCTGAAGTGCACAATTGAACAATTCTAACTTTATGTGCTGCTGCATTCAAGATATGTCGGATATATCGCTATAAAACACAGAGGGCGAGTCAACAATTGGTAAAATTGGGAAATCTTGCACGTGCTTTGCTTCTGAAATGTCACGTTTAGATTAAATTAGAACTTGAAGGTATTATATTTATCCCAAAAGTTATTCATATGACATTAAAATGTAACGTTGACGTTTATATGTGATTTTGAAACCTCCCACTCTGTTATTAATTCACATGTGGCTGCAGTCACGACCAACGCCGGCCCGCCGGAATTCCCGCCCCAGTCGTCCCCCTCCGTGCGGGCGGCCCCTCGGTCGCTGCTTCCTTTTGGCTGAGAGACTCCCCATTCGCCGGCCTCGGCCCGCCCTGTGCAGCGTTACAGCGGCATGGCAACGACGAGGAGACGGGGAGGGTGAGGTGAGGGAGGGAGGGTGGGGAGGGTGAGGTGAGGGAGGGGGGTGGCAGTCTTACCGGGACCAGAGGGGAGAGCGCGTAAAGCAGCTGCCGGCGCAGGAGCAGCACTACCCCCCCTCTCCTCACTTGACTGAAAGCAGCGCGGATTAAAAACGATGCACCACCGCCGCCGCCGCTCCGCCACGGTGCACCGTCACTGCCGCTGACCGGGTGTCGGACTACGGGGGTGGGGGAGGCTGGGGAGGAGGGAGGGGGGCGCGTCGCTTAACGGGTCAGAAGATACAACTTGTAGCCTGTGCATGTGCTGTGCGCCCTTCTCCCTGGTCCCGTATGCAGACGACCGAGAAGATGCTGAGCCGATTGATGAGCAGCAGCATCAGGAGTCTGGACAGGGAATGCAACTGCACCGTGAGGCTGCTGGACGACTCGGAGTACACCTGCACGATCCAGGTCAGTGGGGGCCAACATTTCCCGTTTCCTTAATCACCCCGTGTGGGAGGACGTGCTTTTGGCACGTTACGGGGCGGTGATCAGGAAAAAAACGAATCCCTCAAATGTATCACTCAATCAACCCGCTGCAAGGGACCTGTCACCGTACACTAACTCCATGCAATGTCACTCAAAATATAACAGTTGAATGCTTCAATTGTGTTTACATGCATACGTCGGTCGTCAATTGGCTGCAGATGCATGCGTTGGTCAGAGACCGTACAGCCTACCTGTGAATACATCATGCATTGCGTCAATGGTTATTAATCATCACTGTAGTGGCAGATGGCCAAATAAAACGAACCAAAATCTCTGTTTAAGCTTTTGTCATTCCAGGTGCTTGAGGCATGCATTGTGAAACAAATCTGGATTATCTGATCTCGAATGGTTTCAGTGACGAGGATTTCCGTATTGTCTGGATGTGTGATTGAGGCAGAGGCTGAAGAGGTTTTTGGTCAATGACAAAATATTTAGATTATGATCAGTCTTAATAGATCGTAATTTAACGTAACACAGAAGGTCTCATACCCTGATTTGTCAATTTGCCCTTCAGACTGACCCCGTGTTTGACCACAGAGTTTTGCTTTGCTAGGAATTTTGGATCCCATTAGCCTTGTTTGGGTTAAGTTAACACGATTGGTTGGCTGATGAAGCCTAAAGATCAGTGAACTCATGTAATGCCTCGTCTTTTATGATGACCTAATGATTCAATTGTCGTGGGTCCGAAACGGGTTGAAGCATCGGATGGGAACTAATTGCAAAAACACAATGTGCCTTAGCTTCCCTTCCATCACTAAAAAATAATAGTATAGAATTACACAAAATAACCCGTTGCGCTTCTATTACGGGATGCATTTGTTGAAGCTAAATATTGGTCAAATGTAGCATTAAAAAAAAGACGGTTTTCATTTTAGTGTATGTTCATTTTGTGAGTAGTGCTGTTGTATGGACAGAACTAAGGAAGTCTTAGTTACCCGTCGTAGTTTTAGTGCTTCCGTTCCTTTTGCAGGTTTGTTTGGTCTCCCGTGTTCTTCTATAATATAGATCAGTTCTGCACATTGGATTATTCAGTCGGTCAATCAATCAGTCTGTCCCTCAAAGAGTCCTTTGCAGATTTGTTTTTGTTTACATCTCGAGTTGTCTCAAAAATCAATTGCATTGACATAAATGAAGGTGAGACATGACCCGAGCCAGTAAACAGACCGAGCGTTTATAAGCGTGAGAGCGGAGGAGGAAGAGAAAGAGATTACTGTCCATTATTTCCCTTATAAATCAAGTGTGTGTGTGTGTGTGTGTGTTTACATCACTGCAATTCCTTTAGTGTTGCCGCATTATTGAGAAGTCTGTGCGCATCATCTAACCTGGTTGTTTGAGTAGCTGGAGCTGCGTTTGAAGATTGTTATTCAAAGAGATTCCATCGCTGCGCAGGTGGAGACGACAACAAGCACAGACCATCAGAGCATCGGTTCTTTTATGGGATCCGACTGCAAAGGGGAAGCGGGCCTTTTAAACGTCTTAACATCTTAATGTGGCAGCGCTCGGAGGGGACAGATGAAGCGGTGATTTTACGTCAGTCTCGACGGAAAAAAATACACATCGCCAACAAGTGGGAAGCCCATGATTGTTTTTTTTGGACTACGTGTTTTTAGATTTGGGACTACACAGAGAGAAGGTTTCAATGGATTGTAATTGATTGAAAATGAATCCTTCATTGTTGAAACAACATGACAAAACAGACCTTTCAGTTTTAATGTTCATGTTGTTCAAAAAGAAAACCAATCATGTCGCTTTTTACCTTCTGACAGTCTACCAAAGTACATCTTGCATCTTCACTTTTGATCAGCTCCTTCATGGCGAGTCATGGCTTTCTGAGAGATGTTTGGCTCTTAAGATATGCTGACCCCATCCTTTCAAAAACTGAAAGCACACAGCAGCGCTCAAATGCCAAATTGCATTCGCTGCAGTGGAGCCCCTGTTAAGAAGGATTAGCTCTCTATCTTTCATTATTTCAACCATGACAAATGATGAAATATGTTATTATTTGACACTATGGGGCTCTTGATGAAAAACACAGCCGGTCTAAATAAAAACATAAATAGGATCATCGGCTTAATCATTTGTCACCGTTTATTTTCTGGCATTGGAATGTTCTATTAATGATGGCCAAAGTGTCTGCGAAGCCCAATACGCCCTGTTAAAACCCTCCTCCGTCTCCGTGGAGCACTACAGTGAACTCAGTAGAGCATGACAGCATTGTGACTCCCCTGCTGCACACCTCAGAGATGTGGCCCAGAATGAGGACCCTAGTGGTGCTCGACAATAGTCGCACTTTCCCTTTAGCTCAATTAGCCTACACCTCAAGCTGCTGCTGTTGGACTGAAATCCCATTATAGTGGAATGATGGTTGATGTGACCTTTGTAAATGGAAAAAAAATATATTCTTGCAAAGGCATAATGGAGTGTCAAAAGAAAGGACGGCGGGCAAAGAGAAGAGGACAGACTCCCTTTGCAGCCTCATGGGATTCTACTACCACCACCCATTTACCTGTGTCACCCACGTCACGCTGTGTCTCTGTCGCCTTCTGATAACATTGTTGCGGATTACATCATAACTGTGGGAGCATGGGAAGACTTAGGTTTATTTATTACCTCTGTTATTTCAAAACCGTTCATTCCTCCAGGATTTTCAAAGGCTTCTCACTGTCAAAATAGACTTTCTTACATTCTCAATCCAGGATTAATTGGTTGGTGAAGATGTGGAATGCGCTGAGGAAGGGCCCCTCAGGGACCATGGAAGCGTTGGGAAGCCCAAGACAGAGACGTGGAGGCAACAAGGAGTTTTAGCTATAAGATGATGCGATGATGATTCACATCAGCAAAATATGTCCATAAATACTAGACGCAATATATATATTTTTTGATTTTAAAGACACCAGCCAGTGCTGCCTCACTAGAAATTGCTTGTTAATAACCTGAGAGCTGTCAATGAGAGCAACCACTGGTAGTGTGGATATTCCAACCGTCACACTGCGTTGGTCAGGAAGAAAAGGATCCTTCCTATGTGAATCCCTACACACACACACACACACACGTCTAAAAGTATCCACGATGGATCAGTGTGAGGAAAGAAGACTAAAGAGTGGATGAGAGTTTTACAGAATAGTTATAATTGATTATCATTGTCTATTGTTTCGGGGTGTTGCCACATTTGCATCCTATATATCTTTAAGTCACTGGCCATGTTGTTGTTTGTCACACTATTTGCAGTGTTTCTCTTGTTTAGACTCAGCGTAATTTAACATGTGATTAAAGAAACACACAAATGCAGGGATTATTAAGATATATGCTTTGGCAGCAATACAGATGCCTTTGAGTTATCATGGGTTGTTGTTTAGCAGCTGGTCCATCAGTAGTGTCTCATTAGATAACACAGAAGAGTAGAATATACACTTTAATGACCTACATATAGTTCTAGTTATATTGAATGAGTGTTTTGTAGTTCATTATAGGAACATACAAAGCTGCATGATTCAAGTCCATTGCATGAACTAAAAGATGCAGATCACACACTCTCGCATTTTGAATTGAGTAAACATAATGTGAAACAAGGTTTACCATAATGGTAAATATTGGCGGAAGATACTATAGGCCATTTTCTCTAAATTAATATTCCACCTGTAAACCAAAAGCGTATATCCAAGCTGGGAATGAAGATGAATGATGGAAAATCATCGATCCAGAGAGCGGTACGTTATCACTGCGAGTGAGTGGTTCGGCCACCTGGCACCAACTCAGACCTCGTAAAAGACCAATAATGAAATAAGGGATTTTCTTTTGAAGCAAAATGCAGAACTTGGAAGGAGCTCTGCTCATTTTTCTTTCAGAATGCATAATTGAAATAGGATGTTCTTGTCTCTTAAGTGGCGTCTGTGCACTCAAATTGTTTTCTTCTCAACATGCACTGCTAAAATTGGAAAAGAGGTTGTGACATATTTTGTTCTCCATGCAAAGGTCTGTTTTTCTGCAGGTGTTGCCTTTTCCGCTTTGCTAAAATAATGTTAATGGAATCTTACTTACTGTATAAAGACAATAGGTTTTCTCATTCAAAAAATAGAACAGATTGGAGATGCCTTATTATTCTACTATGCTGCATCATTTATATTAACATAACAAAGGGTTTTGTTCTGGAATTGTTCCAGTTTACTGAAATTCTGCAATCCTTGATAGAATACGATGCACTTCACCTTCACATCTGAGAGGATCTTGGAGGCTGAAATGGTTGCGACGTTGCTGATTTTGATGTTCGTACCCTTTTATTATATTTCCCTGGGATTGACACAGGATCCGGACAGCGGGCCGTATGTTTGACTTGACTGGCTTAGAGCATGTTTATTATTACCACCACACCATTAGGTGCATATGCAGCTTTCCCCCCAGTTAGCCATTTGCCTCCCTGTTCATAAATAAACTAAATTAGCAGTTTGAGACACACACCGTTTATGTGCCCAAAGGCTCAAAAGCCCCAACAGTCCGCTAACCTCACCATGCTCATATTGAGCAGTGTGACAGTGTTCATTAGGTGTAATGTTTGTAATGATGATTAGTTTAACCATAGAATCTTAACATTTGCTAACTGGCTCAGGTGGCAGATGGGGATTCATTTTGCAGACATTTTGTCATAAACCAAACCATCCTCATACAAGCTAGAGGATAATAAAAGTCACGAGGGTCCGTCCTCTGGGAATCATGAATCTCGGTCCAAAATGTCACAGCAAGCCATTGGTTGTTGATACATAAGTCTGTACCACACTGGTGGGCCAAATTAACACCATTTCCTTCCATGAGGCCATGCCTACAGCTAATGAAAGTACAAATATAAATGCAGTCTTAAGCTTGTCAAATGTGAAGGTAAGAAGTTCACATATTTCAATATGAGATACTTTAGGGGATTTTAACTGTTA